CCACAAGGCAGGCGCAGTCTCACCCCGACTTCAAGAGCCCCAGCTACAAAATGTTCGTCACGACGAAAAGTGGCCCCGAAGTGCCTCTGCCCACCACCAGCTCGCCTGTGACCCCTGCCCCTGTCACAAAGATTTTGACCTTCAGAACTATTCTCCTCCAAAAGGAGCCAGGACTTCACGCAGGGCAGTTGAGCCCTGGGGCAGGAAAAGTCAAGACAGCTACAGAAGGTCCCATGGCTGCTAGAAAGCAACGCTAACCACTGTGAGAGTTTGAGTCCTGCCTTCTTTAAGGTGTTTAAAGCATTTAAGGGACACTAAATGGTGAACAGAGTTAGGTGAAATTTACAATCAAAATTTCAAATGTAGAGAAATCCATTTTGATTTATGAGATGTATATGCAGTACAGGAAAATGTTGCTTGTTCAGTGCTTAAAGGAGTGATAACTGTTGGATGAATTCATAAGAACTGATTAATAGCTACTGCACCTTCCTCTCCCCACAGGGGACCAACCAGCCGCAAGTGGAACCGACAGCTCCGAGCTCCCACACTGCCCTCTCTCACTGGCTCCAGACCCGGGTCTCCTGCTCCAACTGTGAGTCTCAAATGCCCTCACACTCCGCAGAACCAAAACCCAAGTGGGCATCTTGTTGCCCCATCTCCTGCCAGCTCCCTGCGGCCTCTGCTCTCTCGCCTTCTTCCCCAGGGTTTAGGCTCCAGGTTTCTCTCTCTCTCTCTCTCTCCTTCTATCCCAGAGCCTTATGCATTCTTTCATCTGTAGGTTCACTCGTTAGCTCATAAATATTTGGGGCCTCAACAACCTTCCAGGCACTGCACTGGGGACTGAGAACGCTCCACAAACAATAGACCCAACTATAACCTGCAGGGTGGGGAGGGCAGCTGGGGAGGGAGAGCAGCAGAGAGAGGGGATCAGAGGGAAGAGCAGGCAGCCCAGGCCAAGACTCCATGGTGCAGGCAGAGGAGCAGCTGGCAGGAAAGCAGGGGGAGCTGGGCTTGAGGGGCTGGGGATGCCCACGGCAGGTGCCTTCAGCTTCAGGTGGGGCTGTGTACAGCCCGGAAACATCCATCTGAGGACTGGACACTGGCTTTGGCCACATGGAGGGTGCAGCATCAGTGTGCCAGTGAGGACAGAGGCTGAAGTGGGCTGAGGAAGGTGCAGAATGACACTCATGAGCACAGACAACTCTCTCAGGAACTACGGCTGTGCTGAGGGGAGAGTAGGACATGTGGAGCGGAGGACGGTGATGTGATTGGATGCTTGCTTTGTTTTTAAGATGAGAGAGACATGAACATGTGTAAACGATGATGGGAAGGAACGGTAACAATAACAACGATGTATAGGACACTTATATCAGCCACTGTGCTATGTGTCTTACACAAAGTAACCCATGTTACCTTCTTATAGAGATGGAGAAACTGAGGCACCAGGTGAATAAGTAACATGCCAAAGCTCTCCCTGCTGCTATGCTGTGGAGCCGTGATTTCAATTTATGTGGACTGGCTCCAGAGCCCTTGCTATATCAACCACTAAGCAAGCGGCCCCAGCAGAAGTGGTGGTCAGGGGAGGGAGGTAGGAAGGAAATGAAGTTGAGGTGTGTGAAGAATACCTGAGTGGGTTCTTCAGGTAATGGGAAAGAGTGCCTGGTGAATGTCAAAGAGAAGACCACGTTTACGTTTCCTAAGACTGGAGAGCCTGGATGGGAGACCCCCATTCTGAGCAGTGGAGGGAGGGCAGGCCTATGGCCTGACCTGGGGCTGAAGAACCATAGGATGTGGGAAGGGACAGTGCTGCCCAAGAGAGGCTGAAAGGATGGACTGAATCTGGAGAGAGAAGACAGGCAGACCACAGCGGGCTGATGAGTAAGAGCTGAGCAGAGGAGTCACAGGTGAGCTGGGAACCAAATATGGGTGATGGAGTGGTGACTGGAAGGAAGGGAGGTGGTGGGCACAGAGGACTGCTCTGTCTTTTCAACTGTCTCAGTGCCTCCAACCCCGCCCTCATCAACGTGACCCACTACAGTCTTACTAAAACAGCTTAGAGTCAAGTCATTGTACTACTGAAGGAAACCCATGGCAAGGATGTTCACTTTTACCCCTCCAACTCAACACTGGACCAGAGGTCCAAGACACTGCAGTAAGAAAAGGAAAAGAGAGGGAGGCCCATTGCCAAGAGGTTAAGTTCTCGCACTCCACTTTGGCAGCCCAGGGCTTCCTGGGTTCAGATCCTGCATGCAGACCTAGCACCACTCATCAAGCCATGCTGAGGCCGTGTTCCACGGAGCAGAAACAAAAGAACCTACAACTAGAATATACAAGTATGTACTGGGGGGCTTTCTGGAGAAGGAGAAAGTAAATAAAAGAAGATTGGCAACAGATTTCAGCTGAGGTGCCAATCTTAAAAAAAAAAAAAGAAAAAGAAATAAAGCCATTCATGTTGGAAAATAAGAAGTGAAACTGTCCTTATACACAGATGACATGAATTTCTATGTAGGATCAAGAAAAAATCTACTAGAACTAAGAAGAGAGTCTAGCAAAATTGCAAGATCCAAGAACAATATATAAAAACTCCATTATGTCTTTTTATAATAATAAACAAATAGAAATCAAATTTTGAAAAATTTATAAAAGCAGAAAAACACATGAAATACTTGGACACAATCTAACACAATGTGTGTATGATCAATACACTGAAAACTGCAAAACACTGTGAAATCAGGGATGACCTAAATAAATGGAGAGGTATCCCATGCACACGGATTCAAAACTCAATATTGTTAAAATGTCAAATTTCCAAATTGGTCTTTGCACTCAATGCAATGCAAATGAAAATCTCAGCAAAGATTTTTGTAGAAATTCACAAGCTGATGCTAAAATTTATATGGAAAGTCAAAGGATCTAGGACAGCCAAATGAACTTTGAAAATAAAGAGCACAGTTAGAGATCTCACATTGTGTGATTTCAAGACTTAATAGACAGCTACTAAGGAAGACAGTGTGGCATTGGCAAGAATAGAGAGTTCAGAAATACAGCCACATCTATATAGTCAGTTGATTTTTGATAAACGTGCAAAGGCAACACAATGGAGAAGGATGGTCTTTCCAACAAACGGTGTTGGCACAACCCACTTGCAAAATAATAAATCTTGACCCGTACCTTGCATCGCATACAAAATTTAACCAAAATGAATCTTAAGCCTAAACAGAAAATCTAAAATTATAAAACTTTTAGAAGAAAACACATGAGAAAATCTTTGGGACCTTGGGTAAGACAAAGACTGCTTAATTACAACACCAAAAACACAATCCGTAAAAGACAAAACTGATATGGCACTTCATGAAAGTATAAAACTTCTGATCTTTGAAAGATATTGTCAGGAAAATGAGAGGACAAGCCATAGCCTGGGGAAAAATATTTGCAAAACACATATCTGAATCCAGAATATATACAAAACACTTAAAACTCTACAAGAAGAAAACAACTCAAGTTTTTTGAATGGGCAAAAGATTGGAACAGACATTTAATCACAGATACACACGTGGCAAATAAGAACATGAAAACATGCTCAACGTCGTTAGTCATTAGGAAGACGCAAATTAAAACCCCTATGAGATACCACCACACATTTCTTAGACTAGCTAAAATGGAAAAAAAAAAAAAAAACCTGACTGCCAAATGTCAGTGAGGATGCAGAAGCAACTGGAATTCTCATACATTGCTTGTGGGAATGCAAAATGGTACAGGCATTTTGGAAGATAATTTGGCAGTTGCTTACAAAGTGAAACATTCAGTTACCATAGAACCCAGCAAGGCCACTCTTACCTATTTACCAAAAATAAATGAAAACTTATCTTCACGGAACTGTACACAAATGTTTATGGCCGCTTTTTTATGATTACCAAAAATTGGAAACAACTCAAATATCCTGCAGTTGGCAAATGGATAAACAAGCTGTGGTAGATCCATAGGACGGAACAGTGACCAGCAGTAAAAGGAAGACACTACTCATATAGGCAACAACATGGATGAATCTCAGGTCAATTATGCGATGTGAAAGACACCAGACTCAAAAGGCTGTGAATTCCATTTATAGGAGGTTCTGGAAAGAGAAACTCTGTGGGGATAGTACAACGCAGTGGTTGCCAGGGGCAGCAGGTACGGGACAAACTGACTACAAAGGACCATCAGAGAATTTCGGGGCTGATGGAACTGTTCTGAATTTTAAATATGGTGGTAGCTACAGGACTGTCCATGCTTGTCCACACTCATAGAACTGGGTGCTTAAAAAGGGTGAATTTTACTGTATGTAAAAACAAACAAACAAACAAAATCCTGCCGTGGCTCCCAGGTTTCCAGGTCCCAAGACTAAACTCTCCAGCTGACGTTCTCAGCCTTTCCCACCTGCCCAATGCCAAGCAGGCCACTTCATTTCCCATCCACTCTCTGCTGCAATGACAACCGTCTCCTCGCCATCTTGTCAACAGTCCGCAGCCTTTCGGGCATCCCTGCCTTTTTGCAAGCTGTGCCCCTCACCTGCACCGCCCTCCCCTCTGCCCTCCGCCCACCCAAAACCCTCTCCACCGCGGTCCTCTCTGAACTCTCCGTTCCCTCTCTGAGTCTGTGCTGCACAGCGTGGGCGGGCCCCTCTCTCAGTGTTGACCGGCGTCTGGCGGGAGTTATTCTGACTTCAGGCTCCTCCTCAACACCAGCGCAGGATGGAGCCTTACTCACCACTCCGCGCAGCGTGAAAATAATGCACGCGCCGCCTGGCACACAGAAGGCCCTGGACGCAGGGCACCCAGGAGAGAGACTGACACCGAGCCCCAGTGGAGGCGACAGGGGAGCTGAATCAGGGTCTTAAGGCTAACGAGGTACCTTCGAGGGAGTTCAGGCCATGAGGACCAGGGCGGTGGAGAAACAGCAGAAAGGGGAGGGACAAGGGGACCGTCCTAGCCTGGTGTCGTGGCTCCCCCGGGCCCACGTACCTTGCCCTCGTGGCAGCGCTCGGCCGCGCTCACCGACCTGGCCTTGATGAGCAGCAGCACGAAGAGAGGCTCCAGGAAGCCGGCGGCGGGTACGGCCACGAGGTTGCTGCCCACGAGCTAAGGAGCTGTGCCCACAACGGTCCTCGTTGGCCCCGCCCCTCACCCAGGCTCCGCCCCAACGGCGCAGCCCACAACCCGAGTGTCCATCCTCTCCCTGCGCTCCAGTCCCGGGTAAACCTCACCCCACCCTGCTGTCCAGGCCCCGGGCCACCTTCTGCCCACCTCCATCCACCTCGCTGCTAGATTCTCAACTCTCCGCAGAGCCTTCGAGACCCGCCCATCTCCCCGACCCTACCGCCCTCACTCCTCCCAGACTGATCCTCCCAAACGGCTCCTCTCTCGGACCCCGCCCACCGCTCGCCCCGCCCCTGTGACCTGGTCTGTCCCTTGGCTGTCCCTGCCCTCCCCACTGCTACCCTGGAGGGCGCCACAGCCTGGCGGATACGCGACGATCTCGTCCATAGAGAAGGGAAGCTGAGTCCTGTACACTGGGAACATCAGGACGGTGACCAGCATGGCGCCCGAGAACAGGCATAGCGACAGGACCTACAGCATGAAGACACGGAAATTGGGGTGACAGACGCAGTTGTTGACCCACTTGCAGTGGCGGTCAAAGTCCTGGGCAAGAGGATGGAGGGCTCCCCTGCAGGACCTGGCCTGGCCTCCATAGCCCCCAAACCTGAGCCTTACCCTAGACCCCTAGGCTAGCTGGTCCCCGGCACTGGCTCTGTTCCCTGGGAGAAACGAAGCCACAAAGTCCCAATCGCTGGCTTTTCTGTGGTTAGAGCACTTCAGGGCTCTGTGGCTCAAGGTCACCTGTCAAGAGGCCTCTAGAGACTAGGCCTGCCTGGCCTTCTGTGGGAACATCCTGGTGTAACCTTGGGCAGGACAGAGAATATCTTGGGGCCTCTCTTTCCTCATCCACTGAATGAGAGTAAGGTTGACATCCCCTCACCAGCCTCCCAGGGTTTTGTAAGTAGCAGATAAGACAGCACATTTGTAAACCTTGGCAGGCCATGCACGAGAGAGACAAGCTCTCAGAACACAGTTGATTGTCTGGCATGGAACCCCAGAAGAGGACAGGCAAATCCTCCCAGGCCGGGCCTGCAGCTGGCCATAGGGCCCTGGGGCATCTAGTGTCAGCGAGGCCTGGTGTAGGACAAGGGTGCCTTTCCTCCCCCTGGCCTGACCAGGGCAAGCATAGATGTGGATGCACCTGTGCCTGTCAGCACCTGGCTAGGCAAGGGCCAGCCTCCCAGGACAGCTGCAGGCACAGATGCAGTGACCTGCATGAGTGACCAAGAGTGGCTGGGAGTGACTGCCACTCTTGGCATTTAGCAGTTCTGGAAGTGGTTTCACACCTGCCACGGGCACCCCAAGTAAGTGGACCTTCTAGTCCCAGCCAGGTGCTGGGCAGGGCAGTGGGTGGGGGGCAGGTGGGCAGATGAGAGGGGCACTCACCTCCACACAAATGTTGCACCATGGGCAGTGGTGGGTCCGGGGCGGGTGGTGGAAGCAGCACCTTGGGCACCACTGCAGGCGGAAGGCCCTGTGGTTCACCCACACCACAGGCACCATCATGGGGCCCAGTTCGTTGGAGCCTGGCATGGGAAGAGGATTGGGCAGCAGCAGGAGCCCTTCCATCACTCTGCTGCTGGCAGGGGTGGGGGCAGCCCCACAGCATCACAGGGCTCCAGGAAAGGTGGGGAGCAGGTGGGCATGGGAATTCCCGGTCCCCACTCAGCTGCCTGACCAAACTGGGAGAGGCTGGTAGCCCAAGGGAAGGTAATTTCCAGCCAGAGGAGCTCTGTGACAACACAGGCCTTTGGAACTGGGATTGATGCTTTAAGGAGTGTGTGCAGTGGGAAGGAGGAGAGAACTGAGTGGTTGTCAATACCTGGCTTCTCTCCCTGGCCTGCCCCGCCCTCCCCTCCAAGGCAACTGGAAACCTCCGGAATTCTGTTTTCCACATCCCGGTGGATTGGGAAATGAAGCACAGAAGCAGGGCCCAAGCAGAGGAGGATGTGGGGAGAAGGGGTCTTGAGGCCAAGAAGGGGAGTGGGGAGCACGTTAGGAATCATCTTTGCAGGCAGGAGCCTTTAGGCTGCTACCTCCTTCTCCCAGGGGCTGAGAACTCACCTTGATGCAAGATGCCAGGGTCTGACACATTGAGGGAAACGAGACTGAAGAAAGTCAGGATGAAGAGGGGGCCTGTGACAACGGGATCGACCCACTCCCTGTTCTGGACCAGCCATCTGCAACTGAGACCAGAGCAGGACTCAGCCCTGATCTGCGGGAGGTCCTGAGCTCCCCCCAGGACTCAGTCCACCTGGTCAGGACTCATAGACCTTAAAGCCTGCCATAAATATCCAGGCTAGTGACAGATCCACAGAGGCTCCACCAGATGTCACCCAACACTACCCACCACCACCAGCTCCCAGGGGCACCAAGTACTCTATGCCTCAGTGCCTTTGCACATTCAGGGCCCTCTGCCTAGAATATCTCCCTTCCCTGACCCCTCTTCTGCACTTCTCCTGCTCCATGCTATCATCATCTCTTTTTCTTTCTGTGTCTGTCAGAAACCTGCTGGCCTGGGTGGGAGACTCACGGGAATGCGAAGAAGAGGCCACTGAGGATGAGCAGCAGCTCGACATTGAAGGCAGCGAACAGGCTCGGGAGCATCCAGGGAAGTGGGTCCTGAGGTCTGCCACCCCGCAAGAGAGCGGCATGGCGGCACCTCCAGTGCCCACAGGCACCCTCGCCGATACTGGCTCCAGGAGCCCTATATCCATAGCGACTGTTGAAGACATAGTGAGCCCCCAAGCCACAGCCCAGGGTGGAAGGCAGAAGTCCCAGTGTGACATCACCGAGGCTGAGGAGAATGTGGGCTAGGGGCTCTGCAGCCTGTGACCAGCACTTCCAACGGCAACGCCCGCCACCCCCACTGGCTGGGGACTGAGAGGTCCTGCCCCTGCCAGGTTGGCTTCACTCCACAGGGTAGAGAAGCACATGGGGAGAAGGGGTGATTCCAATTGCCCTTTCAGGGGAAGTGCTAATCGAAGCAAACCGTGCTCACTGCTCACTCTGTCTCCAGTTTTACCTTTTTGCTATCGCAAAAGTCCACTTTTAGCAGCAAAATAATTCCCCAGCTTCCTTTGTTTCCAGGCTTTTCTTGATGCAATTCTAGTCAGTGAGATGTAAGCAGATGTCTGTCGAGGGTTTCTAGAAAAGCTTTTGCCTTCCTGATAAAAGGGGAAAAGGGCACAGCACAGCTCTGTTCCTTCTTCCTGTCTTGAACCTAGATGTGCTGGCCAGGGGCAGCCTCTTGGACCCGTTAGGCAACAAGTCAACATGCTACAGAGACAACATTAGATGACATTGTTGATTCACTGCCCCAGTCTTGAACTGCCTGCCTCTGAGCTGCTTATGATGTGAGAAAATAACTGGCTTCTCTGTTACATGCAGCTGACAGTTGTCATTCATTTTAGCTACTGAGCATCTAAACCCCTCTGTGTTTGGAAGATTCCCCCAACTGTGGCTCACAGTTCCAAAAGACCTGTGACTCAAGTGCCACCAATTAGTCTCAGAGCAACTACCACAAACCCACTGGGGAGTCTTTGCTGAGAGGCAGCCACTGCAGACATTTTCAGAGCTCCCATGTGTTGAAGTGTAGTGGCATTTTGATAGTCACTTTAGTTTCAACAGTGATTGTATTATTCTTGAACATGGATAAAATATGCGATTCCAAGATTCTTACTTTGCTTTAAAAACTTGGGCTGATATCGAATGGGAGTAATTGACCTGGAACATTCTCAGGAAATTAATTTGATTAAAAACAGAAGGGGCCAGCCCTGTGGCCCAGTGGTTAAGTTCACCCTTCTCTTTGTCAGCCTGGTGTTCGCTGGTTGGGATCCTTGGCAAGGACCTATGCACTGCTCATCAAGCCTTGCTGTGGCAGCATCCCACATAGAAGAAGTAGAATAACCTGCAACTAGGATATATATGTTGTGGCTTTGGGGAGGGAAAAAAAAAAGGAAGATTGGCAACCTATGTTAGCTCAGGGCCAATCTTCCTTACCAAAAAGTATATCTTAAAAAAAAAGAAAAGGTAAGCTTGGGCCAAATGCAGCCTGCCTGACTCTGAGGTTAAAAAAAAAGAGAGAGAGAGAGCAAAAGTCCCTCATCAATACGGAATTATTGTTACTTTTATTTTGACTATACAAACATATTTTTTCTTAATGACATTCAAATTAAGAAGTTAAAAATCTGTGTTCTAAGAATATTGTCTTATACTTGATGAGATTATATTTTAAATACTAAAGTTGAAAGCTTTAGATATTCTCATTTTTGTAATTTCATATAACTGTAAATATGTATGCACATTTAAAGTATCTACACACTGAAGTAGATTAAAATTAATTAATTTTTAAAAGCGTGTGAATCATAGAGAGGAAGAACTGCTAGCCTGGAAGAGAAATGATGTTGGATCACAGTCTCTTTTCCACCTGATGCGCTAAAATGTTATTATTTTACCTCTGTCTATTCTACCCGATGGCAGAGAGTTATTACCTCACTTAACATAAATGAGTAGTCTTAATTTTAAGCAAATCAATAGAATGATAAGATAGAATTAACAGAACGATAGGAGATTCCTGACTTCTGAAAATGCTGGGAGTTTGTTATGTTACCTTCTGCTGTGACATCTACAAGACTGTTAGTCTGATTAATATCATGCCAACACTATGACCTTTCTTCTCCTCAGACACCTGTACTCACACGGAGCAACAACTCTTGCATGTTGCTATTTTCTGATGCTGAGCCCCAAATTCAGAAGAATAAAATTGGCCTTGTGTTTTTGGCTGCTAGGTATCACCAAAGGCTTGCTACCCACCCCCAAAACCCATGACATGGCACTCTCAAGCATCGAAGGATGTTAAAAACATAGAGATAGGGGCTGGCCCAGTGGCATAGCACTTAAATTTGCACACTCTGCTTTCGTAGCCTGGAGTTCACAGGTTTGGATCCCAGGTGAGGACCCACACACCGCTGGTTGGGCCATGCTCTGGCAGCATCCCACACACAAAATAGAGGAAGATTGGCATGGATGTTAGCTAGGAACAACCTTTCTCAAGCAAAAAGAGGAAGATTGGCAACAGAACTTAGCTAAGGGACAATTTCCTCAGCAAAAAAGAAAAAAAAAAAACAGAGAAAAACTGATAAATAAAAAAGAATATTTAATCTGGGTTTTGCATGGGTAGGGGTTAACAATATGAAACCAAGCATGAAGAAGTTAAAAAATCTTCCCTAGAGCAAAAAACTTTGAAAGAAGCTTTGCTACCTGCAGCTGTGCACATTCAGCATAATCAACTGTTGCTCAAAACAAACCAGGTCTTGGGGCCAGCCCCGTTGCTGAGTGGTTAGGTTCGCGCTCTCTGCTTCAGTGGCCCAGTGTTTCACCAGTTTGGATCTTGGGCGCGGACGTGGTACCACTCATCAAGCCATGCTGAGGCAGCATCCCACATGCCACAATTAGAAGGACCCACAACTAAAAATACACAACTATGTACCAGGTGGCTTTGGGGAGAAAAAGGAAAAATAAAATCTTTAAAAAAAAAAACTAACCAGGTCTTTCTATCCCTCCTTAGTATGTGAGTGAGCTGTCTTTCCCAGAAAGTCAAGGTCCAGACATCAAGATTCAGCCTCACAAAGCCAAAAGCAGGCTGAAGATGAAAACTAACCAGAAAAGTCCAGTTGGTCAAGGAAAAAGAAATTCAGTCTTCAAGGCCCAACACAGGCTGGCAGGAAGGCCCTAACCTGCATGGCCACAGGCTCCCACCCACCTACATAAAACCCCAGCACATGTTCTCCTTCCCCTACCTAAAACCCTAGAGAAAAACCTACCTTTTTCCCTTCAAGGAGGTGGATCTGAGTTCTAACTCCCATCTCCTCCTCTTTCAATACTAAAGGTCTTTTCTTGCCACAAGACTGGTGTTTCAGTTTTTTCTTTATTGGCCCTACTGTATGGCAGGTAAATGAACCTGTGTTTGGGTTTGGTAACAAATATGAATAAGTTTTCAGCAATTTGGATACTCTTGCAGAGTGGGGAAAAGCACACTTGAATTCAAGTGCAAGGCCCAACACAAAGACTGTCAATGAATTGGCTTCTGAGAATATTTTATTCCTTGGTTTAAAACACTTATGTCAATTGGCAGCAATTGTGGCACATGCTTTACATACAGATTAGTCTGTGTTTTCACTGTCCATTAATACATTTTCTCCTTAGGTTAATTATCAGTGGAGTCTTCATGAAATAATTATGGGAACCCATGCACTTATCTACCTCACCCCAATACAGATTCCACTCTCCTCTATTCTGACAATGTTAGCTACTCTAATACGTTAACCTGCCTGGTATCAACACATGGTTTCTCTGCTCCCTTCATTTTTGACTGAAGGTCCCTAGAGAAGCTACAGACCAGAGATTGGGTCTTCTGGAAGAAATGTCAGACAAGGAAAGCCTGAGAAAGGGATACCTGAAACAGACCCATGCTTACAGCCTTCCTAGAAGAAGCTAACTTGACTACCAGAGCAAACACCAGGGGGGACCTAACACTCGGGACTCCAGGACTACAGGGCCGGGGAACAGATGACTTCAAGAACATAGACTGTTGAGCCAGGGTTGACAGAATGAGAATTCATGACATATGACTGAATAACACCAATGAGAGATATCAGATGGTGGCTATTTGTTTCAGAATTTGTAGCTATTTGTTTCAGAATATTGTTGATCAGTTTTAATGTTTTCTGATGAGCATACAATAAGCTCCCTTTTTATGCTTCGTGTTCCATCTCCAAAGTCTGACTTACGCAGGCTATGACCATGACTATGACAATGGTCAAACTTATCTGATTGTTGGTTTTTCATTTAAATCTTTACTTGTTTGACATATTGGTCCAAAATATGTGAAAAGAACAACCCAGTTTTAAAGAGCAAAAATACTTCTTCACTGGGGCACACCGTATCTGAATCCAGGCATATATAAGAGGTCCTATATACTATCACTGTGAGTCTTAATATGGAAAACTGTGAATATATTTTACAAGCTAATTAATTCTCAGGAAATGTTTAAAATGATGCCCTAATAATTGGAATTCAGAGGAGTGCTTTTACACAAATTTAAGCCTGGGAAAATTTCAGCAGCCCTTTGAACATTCTATGAAACATTAAAGTGTGTTTTCTAGATAGTTCCACTTATTAGTGTCTATGACAACTCAATGGGAACTATAACATATGTTTAAAAATAAATACTTAGTCCATGCATGAACACTTTCCTGGCTGGTGGGTGAGCCCACCATGCCACAGTGGTCCCAAGGACTTGACCTGGCTCTGACCTCTTGAGGAAGCCCTACCCACCAAGCACAGCATCAGCACAACCATTAGAAGAGGTGGTGGCAGATCTATGCACCTGGGCAAATGCCTTCTGAGCCAGCACAAGCACCCAAAGGATTCCTACAACTTCCAACCAAAGGGGTGGGATCAGAAACACAGCTCCTGCTTCCCCCTAGCAGTAGCTGGTGGAATCTGTGACCTGATATGACCAGAAATATGCCAGAAAAAGATCAGTTCATCAAACATCATGAGAAACTATAGTAGTAATTCAGAGCATGAGGAAAATGACAATTCTCCAGAAACCAACCCTGAAGCCACAGAAATTTATAATCTACGTGACAGAGAATTCAAAATAGCTATCATAAAAAAACCTAAACAAGTTGCAAGAAAACTCAGAAAGTGCAATGAGATCAGGAATACAATTAATGAACAGAGGGAATTCTTCACAAAAGAGATTGAAACTATAAAGAAAAACCAGAAATGGGGGAGATGAAAAACATGATGAATGAGATAAGGAAAAAGCTGGATCCCTAAAATAACAGAGCTGATATTATGGAGGACAGAATTAGCAATTTAGAGGATGGAAATATAGAAATGCTTCAGGTGGAGGAGGAGAGAGAACGAAAACTAAAAAGAAATGAAGAAATTCTTAGAAAAATATCTGACTCGATTAGGAAATGTAGCATAAGGATTACAGGTATTCCAGAGGGAGAACAGCGGGAAAGAGGAGCAAAGAACTTGTTCCAAGAAATAATAGCTGAGGACTTCCCAAACCTGGGGAAAGCACTGGAATCACAAGTAAAAGAAGCTAATATGACTCCTAATTACATCAATGTAAAACGACCTTCCTCAAGGCATATAGTAGTAAAACTGGCAAATGTCAATGACAAAGAAAAAAATGTTAAGGACAGCAAGGCAGAAGAAAATAACCTACAGAGGAATCCTTATCAGGCTTCCACTGGATTTCTCAGCAGAAACCTTAGAGGCTAGGAGAGGGCAGAATGATATATTCAAAATTCAGAAAGACAAAATCTTTCAGCAAGAATAGTCTATCCAGTGAAAACATCCTTCAGATATGATGGAGAAATAAAAACTTTCCCAGATAAACAAAACCTGAGGGAGTTCATCACCACAAGACCGTCTCCCCTACAAGAAATTATCAAGAAGTCTTTTACTCCTGCAAAAAAAAAAGACAACATGTTTACAAAGCTGTGAGCAAGGAGATAAATAGGCAGACAAAATCAGAAAATTGCAGCTGTCTATCAGAACAGGTTAGCAAAGAGTTAATTACAACATTAAAGATCATAGAAAGGAAAACATCAAAAATAACTATAATCATTTCATTTAAACCACAAACTCACAATACAAGATGGAATAAGTTATGACAACAATAACTTAGGGAAGAGGAAAAGGATGGAACCTCCTTAGACTAAGGAAATAAGAGGCTATCAGAAAATGGACTATCATATCTACAAGACCTTTTATACAAACCTCAGAGTAATGACTAAACAAAACATCAGAGCAAAGCCATGAATGATAAATAAAGAGAAAAGAGAAAATCATAGAGAATCAACAAACTGCATTGGCAGTCTGAAATACGAGGTATGAGAAACAAGGGAAATACAGAACAACTGGAAAACAAGTGACAAAATAGCAGCATTAAGCCTTCATATATCAATAATCACTCTAAATGTAAATAGATTGAATTCCCCAGTCAAAAGACACAGAGTCGCAGGATGGATTAAAAAATAAGACCCAAGAATATGCTGCCTCCAGGAAACACATCTCAGCTCTAAAGACAAACATAGGCTCAGGGTGAAGGAATGGGAGACAATACTTCAAGCTAATTGCAGACAAAAGAAAGCAGGTATTGCCATACTTATATCAGACAAAATAGATTTCAAGATAAAAAAGACAAGAGACAAAGAGGAGCCATATATAATGATAAAAGGGACTCTCCACCAAGAGGACATAATATTTATAAATATATATGCATCCAACACGCGAGCACCAAAGCACATATAGCAACTATTAATTGACCTAAAAGGAGACATTAACAACAACAACATAATGGTAGGGGACCTTAACATCCCACTTACATTAATGGATAGACCATCGAGACAGAAAGTCAACAAGGAAATAGTGGAATTAAATGAAACATTTCACTAGATGGACTTAATAGATATATGGAGAACATTCCACCCAAAAACAGCAGAATACACATTTGTCTCAAGGGCACATGGATTATTCTCCAAGATAGACCATATATTGGGAAATAAGGCAAGCCTCAATAAATTTAAGAAGATTGACATCATATCAAGCACCTTTTCTGACCACAATGCTGTGAAACCGGAAATCAACTGCAAGAAAAAAGCTAGGAAAGTGACAAATATGAAGAGACTAAACAACACCGTAGTGAACAACAATGATCATTGAAGAAATTAAATAGAAATCAAAAAATATCTGGAGACAAATGAAAATGCAAATGTACCATACCAATTCATACAGGATGTAGCAAATGTGGTCATAAGAGGGAAATCATAGCAGTGCAGGCCCACCTTAACGAACAAAAAATATCTCAAATAAGCCTCTCAAACCTCACCTGACAGAATTAGAAAAAGAAAAACAAAGAGAGCCCAAAGTCGTAGAATGAGGGAAATAACAAAAATTAGAGCAGAAATAAATGAAATCGAAACCAAAAAAGCAGTAGAAATGACTCATGAAACTAAGAGCTAGTTCTTTAAGAAGATGAACAAAATTGACAAACCCTTAGCCAGACTCACTAAGAAAAAAAAGAGAGAAGGCTCAAATAAATAAAATTGGAAATGAAAGAGGAGAAATTGCAATGGATACTAAAACAAATACAAAGGACTATAAGAGAATACTTTGAAAAACTATATGCCCACAAATTGGATAACCTAGAAGAAGTGGATAAATTCTTAGACTCATACAACCTCCCAAAACTGAATCAAAAAGAAATAGAGAATCTGAATAGACCAATCACAAGTAAATAGATTGAAACAGTCATCCGAAATCGCCCCAAATATAAAAGTCCAGGACCAGATGGCTACTCTGGAGACTTCTATCACACATTCAAAGAGGATTTAATACCTATCCTTCTCAAACTCTTCCAAAAAGTTGAAGAAGATGGAACACTTCCTAGCACATTTTACGAGGCCAACATCACCTTGATCCCAAAACCCAACAGGGACAACACAAAGAAGGAAAATTATATGCCAATAATGTTGATGAACATACATGGAAACATCCTCAACAAAATATCAGCAAACTGAATACAGCAATACATTAAAAGGATCAGGGCAGACAATGTCAAGAGGGTGGCATAGGCAGAATCGGAATTCACCTCCTCTGACAGACACAACAAATTTAGAACTACTTCTGGAACAATTAACCCTGAGAGAGAACTGAAAACTAGATAAAAAGAACCCGCACAACAAGGGATGGTGCTGACTGAGGTGGAAGAGCCAGAAATTCCTTTCCAGAGAGGAAAAAAAAGCCGCCTTCAAGCCATGGTGCTTCACGGCCAGCTGGGAGAACTCCTAAGGTACGAAGCCTTCCCTGGAGGAGTGGAGGATCTGACTGAGGGAGAATTACCACACTAATCAGCTTTTGGACTCAGCACAACCAAGACAAGTGTCATAATATCTAGCTTTCCTGGATATTAACTACATCAGGGAATACCCCCAGAAAAGCTATTGGACATAAGGGGGAAAAAGCCTGCTCTTAAAGGGCCCATGCACAAATTCATCCATTACAGAAAGCAACCTAAAATCTCTAGAAGGAAAGGTGCACAGTTCTTTGATAGGCTCTGGGTGCATCTCAGTGAGAGGTGAGACCTCCCAAGAAACTGAGATATTGGTAGTAGCCTTTATTGTGACCTAGTACAAGCATGCTAACACAGACACTAGTAGACACCTTTGGAGTTCTTCCCCTGGCCTGTTAGCCCAGGGTCTGCCCCACCCAATAGATGACCAATTTAATCCAGCTCAGCCATGGTGGCAGTCCACCCTAAGGACTGGCAGCCCCCAACAACAATCCCTCAGGCAACATGTGACCCCACATAGGTGAGGTGCCTGGAACCTCTGCTGCTGGGTGAGTGGGTCAGGCTCTGCAGGGCAGAGCCTGTGTGAGGAGCAGGCCTCTGTTGGTGGAGTGTGTGGGATCTCTGCAGTGGAGTGATTGGGTCCACTTCAGTGGGTCAGGGCATGTGCACAGGGTAGGACTGTGTTGATGGTGTGTGTGGCCCTGTTGGTGGTGGGTCTTGTCAGCTGCAGAAGACTTGTGCTTCTCAAACAGCCACATAGGGGATCATCCCCACCTTCCAAAGCCTGAAACAATTCAGTGCTCCTATGCCTAGGGCCAGCCCCATTCAGCTGCAATGCTGAGAGTGCTAACAACAGCCTTGCAGGACAGAGGCTTACAGCAATTGTAAGCCCCTGAGCCTCACAACCAGCCACGCTTGGGGCCTACTCACTTAACAGAAAAACTGCAACAGGAATGTGCTATGAGACCTTGCAGCCAACTGTGCTGTGGCTCC